CTGCTGCTGCCGCTCTCCTGTCAGGAGTGCGAGGAGGAGCTGGACAGAGCCCCTTTCTGATGCTGGAGAGGGACTGATGCGTCCGTTATTGTTGCTGGATTGTTCAGTGTTTGGTTGAGACAACAATCGGGGAAACGACTCTACAGTCATATGGTTTGCTGCTGCTGCTGCTAATAGTACTAAACCAGCATTCGATCTTCATCGGTGAATTGGATGAAGCTGTCAACTTGGTTGACGAGCTAGCATCACCATATCAGCGTCTGACAAAATAACCATGCAGCGGTATGCGTTAATCAGAAGGCTCTGCGGGCTCGTATTGTCGGCAGCTCAGCAGCGTCCACAGCAACTTTTCGCCTTTTTCTGGACATAAACCATCACCTTCTCCATAAACCTGAAACCGACATCAAACGGTAGCGAATTTGTGGTCAAGTAGACCAGACACCCCGACATAGACTTTGAATTTCTACCTTGCGCCAACCCTCCATTCATTAGAGGAATTGGACAGGACTGGCCACGCCTCCAATTGGCAGGAGAAGGCATGCCATTCTGACTCCATGAACAAAGACGTCGAACAACACACAAAAAGTGGCCAAGAGCACCTCGAGGATACATGTAGTACTATGCGGGGGATATTACAGATTTACAGGGAGCATCCTAGGTAGTGATATGAACATAGGATGGCTGCATTCCCCTAACTACGTGCTACTCGAGAAGACACGAAACCAAGCCCATATATCTACAAAAGACTGACTGATTGGGGAGGTACAAAGGGTCACAGAGGTCAAAATATAACCAACACCACGAGCCATGGAAACTTGGAAAGTAGGGGTCCTCCTTGTTCTCATACTACTGTATATCGCAAACAACCACGGGGAGCGCGTCTCCATATCATGAACAGTCTTCTTCTTAAGCGGTCCAAAAGCATCATCATCCAGAAGAAAGCCCTGCTATGCACGACCCCTAAACAAGAAAACAATTTGCTGCATGAGACAGACTGAAACCCCCAGTTCAATGCTAGTTCTTGATCTCTTCCAGACGACTATACTGACATAATACAAGTGAAAAGATCAGATAAGAAAACATCACATATGATTGTGTTCTGCAGTACCTATTCAATAGTCACAAACAAAATTACATTCTATGTTCATTAAGCTGTTAACAGGTAGGCCCAAAGCTAAGCCTTGGCATCACAATAAATACACCCTTATCTTATGAACACAGTGCTCTGTATACTTATTCTCATACTCCATCCGTAAAGAAATATAAGAGCGTTTACATAACTAAAATAGTGATCTAAACACTCTTATATTTCTTTACAGAGGGAGTATCTTGTAAGGGCATGAGCACTAGTTAAGACCTCAAACAAAAACGTGATTATGAGGATGCATAGTCATCAGTGTAGCTCAATTTTAACTAAGCATAGAGTGTGTCGTGTTGGCTATTCAACCTACTTCGGTGTAGTCTTAGAAGTCCTACAGTTTACATGGAAAAGACAAGCACTTCAAACTTCCACAGATAGAATTGAACGTCAAAATCGGTATAATGCATGGTCAACAGAAGATATTAATCCACACACTGAAAATCCTCTTCTTAACTAAAGAAAAAATTATGAAATAAATAAGTGTCTAGATGGAAATTCTTTCTACAAACAAGGACAAATTGCATAAAGCGTGCATATTGTCCTATTTTCATGTGATCATGTCAAATTCGGCAAGGAAAGTTGTTAATTGCTATAGCGTGGTCTTCATGCATGATTTGTTTAAAATGAAGTATAACTTGTCGTAGTGGTGAAAACGACTCCAAATATATGGTGCAAATGGACCCAGGTAGACAATCTTTTCAAGTTGGCTCTCAAACATTTATTTTTACAGATGCGGCATAAAGTTGGAGAATTATATAAAAATGAAGTCAAAGACAAACTAAATAGAACATGTGGCATTTAAATGGAGATAGAGCTATATGCATAAATGTCAGTTGAAGTCAAGGGCCAGCATGTATCTAGCTAAATACTTTATACTTGCTTGTTATGCATAAAATGGCTTTTCTGGCTGTTCTTCCTTTGTTTGCTTTCCATAGTGGGCACAAACAACTTTCAGGCAAAGTCCAGGGTGTTCAGCAAATGCTGATAGCATATCCACCTTACACACACAAGCCATACTCTTAGCAGTCCTTTTAGAGCAACTCCAACGGGCCGACCCAAACGGACGGCGATTTCGTCCGCTTCTTGTCCGTTTAGGTCGGCCAGACGGACACGGATGCCCGCTTCCGCATTTGGGTCGGCGCGTGCGCCCAACGCTGGCCTGAGACCCATTTTGACGGCGCCAAAACAAAATGAACACATGCATATTAAAAAAAGAAAAACAGCATTAATTAAACATTAAAGCCGGCCACGAAGGCCGGCGAGAGTCCACGCGTCCACATTTGCATTTAAAAAAAACAGCCTAAATTACGAGGAGGCGCGCTGCCCTAGGCGTCGTCGTCGTCGTCCTCGGGGTCCGTGAGGTCAATGAGCGTCAGCACCGGCCCGGCCCAGGCGAACGCCGTGTTCCAGAGCGCCGTCATGTCGGGCAGTGCCGGCGCAGGCAGTGCCGGCGTGGGGGGTTGTGCGGCCGCCTGTGCAGCTGCGGCCTGGCGCGCCGCCTTCTCGGCCTCGCGCTGCTCCTCCTCGAGGTCGCGCTCGAGCATCTCGAGGTACTCGCCGTCGCGGCGCTCCTCGGCCACCCTGATGCTGCGCCAGTGCTCGAGGTACGCCTGCTCCTGCGCCGGCGTCGCTCCCATCCAGACCGGTGGCGCGCGTACCCATTCGCGCACTACTCCCGTCCAGGAGTAGCGCTTGATGGGGGACGGCTCGGCTCCGCCTCCGTCTTGATGGGGGTCGGCGGGGCCACCGGCGGCACCACGCTGTCGCCCGCCGCGGAGAGGGCAAGGGCCTGCGCCATTGTCGCCTCGTACTGAGCCTCTTCTTCCGCCTTCGCCGCCTCCGCCCTGCGCCGCTCGTCCTCCTCGCTCTCCTGGAAGACGGTCGCAAGTGCCGCCTGGTAGGCGTCCTCCGCCGCCTGGTCCTCCTCGCGGATGACGAGTGCCGGTGGCGGCGACCTCCAGTCGACCTCGCGCACGCCCCGTCGCCTCGCCTCCTCGTGCTCGAAGGCGAACCACCTCGCCCAGTTGGGCGAGTCGGTTGCGTAGGCGGCCTCGCGGCGCTGCTCCGACGTCAGCATCGCCCGCCGGCGCCACACCTCCTCCGCGTGAGCGCGAGCCGACCGCGGCGCCACCGGCACTGGGATCCTCTCTGGATCCAGATGCCAGTCGTGCGGCAGCGTCACGTCGGGATACGGCAAAGGTTGGCGGTGCTGCGAGTGCCACTCCGCCTGGTGCACTGGCACGTTCACGCGCTGCCTCTGCCGGCGAGACGCCGGCGGAGGCGGGAGGAAAGGGGTGGCGGGGGACTTGCCCTTGGCCTTGCTGCCGCTGGCGCCGAAGAAGAGGCCCATCTCTGCTGTGGTTGTGGTGGCTAGGGTTTGCCGGCGACGAGGGAGCAAAGGATGGCAGATGTGGACGGCGAGTTTGGATGAGGACGGCCCCGCCGCACGGTCGGCTTAAAAAGGACGAGCGCCGTCGCTGACGTGTGGGCCCGTCGTCATAAATTAAGCTGACCGCGTGGGCAGCAGGTAGTTGGACGGCCGCCATGTGGGGACGCGGCGGACAACGGAAAGGCGCGCGAAGCGTCCGTCCGGCGTCCGCGCCGACGCATTTGGGGCGCAAATTTGGGCCGCAAATGCGTCGGCGCGGACGCGACGCGGACGTGATTTGGGTTTGGGTCGGCGTGTTGGGCCGCCACTTTTGTCCGCGCTGACCCAAACGGACGCAGGCGGATGAAATGGGTCGGCCCTTTGGAGTTGCTGTTACGGCCTATGCAAAACCCATAACATCTACATAGAGTTTCCTCAACAATCTGTGTGTACTCTCTTTGAACTGACTTTTTTAACTAACTGAGCCAAACGTCTTGTAGTGGATCTGTGGATGTAGAATACTCTTTTATTTCGCCCAAAGCACCATCATTCTCGCTTACACTCTCACTATAAACCTAAATATATAGGGAAGATAAGAAGTAGAAACCATGGAGGTCTCCAACATTATTCAAAAGCAATGTTCAGGAAATCGTTAACAGGTAACTGCTCGGTCGGCTGGCGAGTAGGCCATTAATAGGTGAATCGATCAGTTAATCGGCCGATAAATCAGCTACTCGGTGATCCACTGAGCAGGGATTAATCGGCCACTTAACTGATTTATTGGCCAATATTTTGAACAAGTGAAGATCATAACATGTATTCCTATATAGCATTACACTGACACGTACCGTCTGGGTCTGTGTTGGTGATGTGTCAACCAATCTGGCCTCATGTGAAACTCCAGCAGAACTAACAGATACCAAAGCCAAATCAAGATGATATCAGGGAAACAAAGGTTGTACCATAAGATCTGTATATTCCTACTTGACACAGAACTACAAAATAAAATGAAATACACCTGTTCTGCAAAGCTAAAACTTCTGGAATAGGAGCATTGGGATACCACCTACAGACTTTGCTTCCTTGCAAACACAGTTGGCCTGATGTGATGAAAAATTAGGCAAATGATATCTGATGTTTACTAAAACACGTAGACTGCAATTACCAAAGGAAACCAAAGACAAAATAAAATTGCCGAAAACAAAAAAACATCACCTTCACACAGCTTGACAGTCACGGCAACAAAGAGAATGACAACTGGTCTTTGCTGCATCTGCTGCTGCAGAGTCTCGGCTGGGAATTGATTTGCATGTGCCTCCCACAAAGCAACAACAGCCGTCTCTCTTCAAAAACATAATCAGAAAATGCACAAGCATGTAGAACAGCACAGAAGACTGTCATGAAGCAACTAAAAGTGACCAACAATGAAGCTCTATAAACATACCTGCCATCGCTTATGTACACGTTACGTACTGCCCGAGGTGCACCATTGACAGTAACAGTTTTCACATTTGAAACTTCCAGCATAAGACCAATGGCATCTGCATCAGGCACCAAAAGGCAAAAGCAATCCTAGATTAGACAGAGAAAAGAGCAGCGGCTGCACACATAATTATGGAGGCAGAATGATTCAGTCACAAATACAGATTATATACCAGACATTAGCGCTGTGTTGTTTTCACGCGATCGGAGGACTTCATAAGGAGATATCTTGTATGCATACACCGGAAAACTATCAGGCACATGTTCATCCTTGCTTATCTCTGTGTCCCTCGTGAACATTGCCATGCAAGGATGATCAACAGCCCTATAGGGCAGACTAGGGTGGACAACCTTAAAGTGGTGTATGTAATACACATCATCCTCCTTGATGCGTGACAAAAAGAGCTGTGCAAGCCACGCAGGTACTTGGCCGGCCATCATATCCCCCTATGTCATAGACATTGAACCAGCACGGTGACCTTACATGATAAAGGTAAATGAAACAAAACATTACAAAGCTACAAGTATCTCACCTGCTCATCGAGCATCACAAAATCAAGCCGCGGAATTCCTGTTAGTTGATGCTTGCTCATGTAATGTGAAATGCGCGTTATTCTGACTCGAATCCTCACCCGGTTGTTTGACGCCAGGGTCACATCCTTCAGCAAGGTGTAATCCATCTCCTGCTAACAGAAAAGGAAACAAAATCAGAGCTAAACCAAAACTAGGAAAACAATAAATGGGCATGAACCCACTAGAGGATACACGGTGTGCGACACTGCAAAAAGAACAAATCTGACATATATCCAAAAGGAGAAAGCTCTGTGCTGAATTAAACAGAGCGGAACACATAACAGAGGACTGCTACAACATGGCATGGACTGAAGAACTCAACAGATGCTTACAATCCTTAACCTTCCTTTTGTGAACAATGTAAGCTACAATATCGTGATAGACTACCTCGCTGTCAGAATCTTCTGAACAATCTGCATCATTTTTAGATTCACCCATACCACCATCTTGTCCTGAACCATCCTCTCTCTCTTCATGATCATTGGGTTCGACTCGTGCTTTCTTCGACTGTTTTTCAGCTAAGCGAGTCGAGCGCCTTATGGTGGGTGCAGGGCGCCCTTCTGTCTCGTCATCCTTCTCATCACCGTCAATTCTTCTAAGCAGTGCACGCTTCCTACTGGGTGGAGCACCCGACACCCCCACCTGCAATTCACCATCCTTGCTCCCACCGGTAACCGCCCGCACCACACGCTTCCTAGGGGTCGGCACCGCGGGAACACCATCCTTCTCGCCGCTCCTCCCGTTGCCGGCATCAGCGGCAACCCCCTCTTCCTCGCCGTCACCGACCTCGTTAAAAGAACCATACGCCTGGACTGTTTTTGGCTTGGGGCCGCCCAAACCCTCCACCAATGGACCAGAGACCTCCCCACGGGGCATGGCCTTCCACCAGCGCGCGTTCTCTGCTTCGAGGAGCGAGACCCGGGCCTCCAGGTCGGCAATGCGGGGGGACGTGGCGGCGAGCTCGGCCTCGAGGACGCATACCTTCGCCGCGACCGCCGCCGCGGCGTCCATCTCTAGCGGCGGGGACGGTCGCGGGCGACGATGCGGCGGCACCGCGGTAGAACCCTAGCGTCGGAATGCTCGCACTGGTGGTCAGACGTCAGGAGGACTGTGCCACGATTGTGTGCGGAAAGAAGAAGGAGAGGCGGCTTTGCCCTTTGCGCTTCTGGGCTGGCGACACGTGCGGTGAAATGGGCTGGGACTGGGACAGGCCGCATGGACCGCTTCTATAGGCTTTTTGCTTCACACGCTTGTTCCCCCGAACAAAAACTTCACAACCCTAAAAAAAAAAAGCTTCACAAGTTTGTGCATTCTTCGATGAGAGAATACCCTAGAGCAAGTATAATAAGGTGACGTATGCGGGCTGTAATACTTTAAATATTATATCTTAGTTGAGTTGGATGAGAGAGAAGAGGATAGCGTAAGTACGCGGGATTTACAGCCGGCTGTAGCACGGACTCTAAGAAGCTATGTGAGAGTGTATGATGGGTCATGTGGTAGAAAAATAATACTTTCTTGTAACCCACTGCTATACATGTTAGCTATTACATTAACTAAGATGACATGACAACATGTTATAGCCATCAACCTATTGTTAACCATGCTCTTATTTGGGCTTTCTTAAAAGGGAATGTCTAGGGCACATTTAGATGTACCCAACTTATTGCACATCTAAATGCTTGAATCAAGCATGAAGAAAAAAAAATAAAAAAAAATATTCACACGAATCTCAACATAAGATCAATGATATAGGATTTAGATGTGCAATACTTATGGCACATCTAGATGTGCTTTAGCAAAACTGTTCTTAAAAATCTGCTTCCTTTTTTGCCATAAGAAAATCTTTCCTTTTTGACTTGTTCTCTCAATGGCATTTCCGTTAGTTGTAGCCACTACACCGTGAAGTGCAACATGAAACCTTATTTGGTCATTTTTTTTAAACCTGCTTTGTTTTTTAGCCCTAAAAAATCTTCCCCTTTTGATTTGTTCCCTCCACGATGTTTTCGTTAGTTTTAGCCACTTATCCCCTGAAGTGCAACACGAAAAGTAGTTCATTTCCATTAGTCCGATGTAGGTGTCGACCTCATGCTTGGTGGGAGGGCGGCCGTCAGGGAAGGACTCGAGCCAGGCGCACGCGAACGACCAAGGGGGTGTGTGGGCGGGGAAGGGGTCGGGTTTGAGGGCGTGCCCGGAGTCCGGGTGGCGCTAGCCATGGTGGTGGAACGACGTGGCGGGGGAAAGGGAGTGGCGCGTCAAGTGGCAACGCGCAAAGCAAGAGGATGGCCTGTAGTTCCGACATTCGCATCAGCTTCGGCAGAGGAGAGCCAGGGACACGAAGGAGGGGCTCATGGTTTTAGGAGGGTTTACTTGCTCGCTCGCCTTCAATTCGAAGGAAGACAACCGTAAGACGTGGATTTTTTAGAACTCATAGTACTAGTACCCATGGAGTTTCTTTTTGAAATATCGACATCTATATTTTATTAGACAAACAAATTACAACGAGTACACATGTGATCACAAGAGACATACAAAAATTATGTTAGGGGTGCTCCTGAAAAAAACGGAATCAGATAAACAGAATTGAAATTTCAAATAGGGTGCTCCTCTATTTGATGCAAGCTTAGGAGATTCGGATCACACCGTCCAGGCATCCATCTCCTTTCTTTATCTTCACACCATACATTCAAAATGTCCTGCTTTTGCTATGCGATTTGGGCTTGAGAATAATTCATAGCCAACTTAAAGAATTGACGTTCTCATCCATAGTTTACACTAGAATAAGAAATCAAGATATATCATTCAGGCACATTAAGCAGATACAACTCAAAATATCTTATAATGTTGCAGCAAGAAGGATCTTTTACGACATTTGTTTTTAAGCAATATATTCAGGACTACAACAAAAAGAAAGCACATCCAACACATCGCTCACAAGACTGACTGGAACTAGACAAGTATAACAAAATTGATGGTGTCAACCATGTGGATTGCCACCAGTGATCCACTACCGCTTGCACTTAGCTTTCGCCATTTTCTTCCTCTTCTTCTTGTCAGCCTTTGGGATCTTCGTCTTGCGAGTTTCCCTCTTCTCTTCCTTCACTTTCTTCTTGTTTTCCTTGCGAGCAGCCTTCCTTTCCTCGGGCCCCATCTTTGTGGACTCATGCCATGAACCGTCTTCGTCGGAACTACAGCAAGATTCACTGTCACCCGATGCATCTTCCTCCTTGTTCTCCAAGGAGCAGCACTTAGTTTGCAGGTCCAAGGGTTCTTCCGGTGTATTTTGTGCTGGTCGTGCTTCCTGGTTTTCGGTATGCTCATTTTTAGTCCGCACAAATCCTAACAGTGGCTGGTCATAAAGCTTATCTGCTGTTGGCTCATAACCAACAGATGGACGTTGCATCATTGACATGCTGACAATCTCTGCCTCACATTGCTTCACATAATCCAACGTCTATCAAAAAGAGCAAAGCAGATAATATTATTAGTATAAGTGAACTGTATAACATGCGCACAAACATATGAAAGAAACAAAATAAACACAAAATAGTTACAAACTCCTGTAAGAGATCTGGGAGACAAGACTAATTGGAATGAACATAGTAAACTATGTAGATGAGATAAAACAGTTACCTCAAAGGTAATGGCAATACCTTGAGTTAAAACATAGTATAAAATAGAGATGATTGACGACTAACAGATATATGCAATAAATAAATGTATGCCTCAGACTAGGATCTCTCACTGAAGAAGTGAAGATGCTCACTGTTGTAAATGACATTTCTGGCAAAGCTGCACAAAGACATAGTAATAACAATAATCATATTCCTACCTGCACCAAGACTGTCGGAGCAATTTCATCATCTGCAGCTGTATCTCCATTTTCCAGAATCTTTTGCTGAACCTGTTAACCACAATATTGTTAACCCATCGGATCGTCTGTCCAAGGATGAGCATAGTTTCACACAAAAATCGGATGATTACAAAGCATTGTAACTACTCAAAGTAAAATAAAGGCATGCCTTCTCCAGGTAATCATCAACATCATCATCAGCGATATTTTGATCCACAACGAAATTAAATAGCTCTGTTACTGTCATGACAGCAACGCCTCGTTTTTCAAAGAAATCCTGAAAACAGCATTGCACACGCATTAAATACCATGAGTTATCCATGTCTGGTCAATTTTAATTTAATTTTACTCACATTAACATGCAAACAATCTTCCTTCAGGAAATCCAAAGCTGAAGGATGGTCAAGGTCGACAGACTGTGAAACATCAATGATGTACAAGTGTCCCTGCCCAACAAGCAAATAAGAATGAAGAATCTGGTTGACTGGGAAATGAAAGAGGATAAGAAGGCTTAATCAAAAGTGCTCAACTACCTCAAAATAAAGAATGTTGTATTCACTCAAATCACCGTGGACAAGCTTGCACTTTTGGTAAAGTGTCCGCATTGTTGTAACAATCTGAAAATAAGCTGCAGTAAGTATATTGGAAAATGTTACTATAAGAGTACCCAAAAGCTAATGTTTGGGTACTATGTGGTTCCTTATTCATTCTTCTATAGGTAAAGGCCATATTCAGCTGACATTTCAACTTGCAGTTAATCTTTGCATATGCCATGTACCTCAAAGTAAGTTTCACGCAACTTGTCATCTGACAAAGCAGCATCCTTAAGTCGAGGAGCAGCCCAACCTCCTTTTCCTGAAGGAGAACCAACTCAATTTATTAGACCAAATGATAATACCTATGAAAATACTGTTCTGTGGGATGTTCTGCTACGAGGCGTATGTTTTGAACAATTATTAGGTCATGCTATGCTACCATGTTTATAGGAAAATGTTGATAGGCATTGAATAAGAAAATGTCACCACAAGTTTTACCTATAAATTCCATCACTAAAACATGAAGCCTCAAGAGCAACGGCTTCGGGCATCGGATTCCTTCTGCTCTAACTCTGAACAAGGGAGAGAAGTGTGAATCTTCCTATTTCAATAACTGAAAGCATTTTGCAAAGTATTGCAGAAGAAGATAACAATTATATAGGGTGGGAATTTAAAGAGAGAGACAGAACAAAATATAGGATAGCAACAGCTTATGCC